ACTGGGGAGATAAGCCAGGCAACAGAAGAGTGTACATGCCAAGATGCACAGTGTTTCCAGAAAGTGAAATGGCTGACAAACATCCAGCTTTGGAAACAGGCGACTTTCCCCGAGAAATAGCTGCAAGAAAATAATCCGAGGCACAGTGGTCACCCGCAGGTGTGGGATGCATCCTTTGGCCAACGGCTAAGGAACCTCTGCCAGCAGGTTGCCCATGCATCACTGCTTGACGATGTCTTCTAGGAGTCCCTTTTCATGCCAAAATCCCATGAATTTCTGGGGAATCCTGCTTCTAAGCCACACCAAAAACATTCACAAAAGCACCAGGAAGTGGCAGGTGCTGCTGCCTGGGGCTTACAAGGGGGAAATGCCTGACACCCCCAGATCTTAAGGCTTTCATTCTAATTCCTTATTGTATAAATAAACCGGCACCACACCTCTACAAACACCTCCCCACAACACCACTTCAAAGACTGCTGACACCAAACAGGTCAAGTCTGCATTCAGCACTGAAATGGGAGCCAACACACCCCTCAGGCAGACACCAAGAAAAGCTTCCACAAGTTGGCTCTGGCTAACACACCCTGACATTTTTAGGGGATTCCCTCCACCACTGGCTTCTTTGCAGCGTTTGCCAGCTGCTATTTGGCACCTGGTTCACAGTCAGAGATGAAGTCCATTCCCAGTAAGGGGGTAATGGCTTTTCTCCACTCACAACCTGCACTGCATCTGACTCAGCGACCCAGAGGTGAAAGGCGCCGAATCTGACTACGGACATTCAAGAAACACGTTTTAAACTTCTCATTTCCACAACTTAAAGGATCAGTTTCACAAGCCACTGGTCGATTTTAACAGCTGTTAAAGCCCTGCAGTTTAATGCAATTCATTAACTCACTAAAACCCGATGTCATATATTAACTCATTTACTTTATACATCACCGGGCAGTAGGGCGGGAAGGGACCTCACAAGGTCCTTCCATTTTAGGGGTCTTAAAATGGCTTTTGATTATTAGAAATGAAGATCCCATCTTCTAAAAAAACAAACTGATGGAGAACATAGGATAAGAAGAGCCAAAAATGTAACTAAATATTTGTTCTTAAAAGTATCTAGTCTCACTAGTGAAGTTTTCATTTATTCTCAATAAAGTGCTTTGAAGTCACTGGATAAAGAGCATTAAATGCAAAGTAATATACAGATACACATGCATGATAAAGAAAAACAGTCATTTATAGTCTGTCCATCATTTATCACAGCAAACAGGTTAACTACCATTATTTAGGAGGCCCTGGAACTAGCGGCAATGAGCATGAGAGATTAGGAGTCACAGCAAAGATATTCTGTGCTGACAGCTGGCCTCACTGTAGCTAGGTTTTGAGTACAAATACAGCGGATGAGCTTGAGATCCTTGGGTAAACGGCATGGTTAGTGAAGGCATCACTTCAAATTTTGTTAAATTCAAGGAAAAAATAAGAACCAAGAGTGAAGGGGAAAAAAATAGGTTGTTTTTTTTTGCTTTACTCAAAGTGGTTATGTTTTATAGGGCCACCCAAAAAACACAAGAGACATTAGGTAAGAGGACAGTCACCAAAAAAATCACGAGGCTCTGATTCTCCTCTTTGGAACGTGTAAGCTTCTTCCCCCTCCAATATTACAAAACAGCAAGAAATACAAATGGGGTTAAACGAACAAACAAAACCACCTCTCCCTTGGAAACACTACAAGAAAAATATATGTATGTAAGCTACGCCAGGACACATTTCGATGAGAAAGGTGCAGCCCTCAAATATGCCACTCCAACAGAGGGAGGTGACTATTCTCCTGACCCACCAGGTCTCCGCTGCTGAGACACAAGCCGGGGACAAATGGCCCTATCTAGCACATCCCACGTCCTTACTTTGAGACCGCGGCACTTTTGACACCCCCAGCAGCCGCATAGCTCCTCTGGACTCAACCCCAGCTCCAGCGATACCCTGTGCAAAGCGCTCCTTATCAACACGGAGGCAAACATTGCACCTGAATACGCTGGCACTGGAATTAAACAATGCAAACGGTTTTTCTTTTGGATGCCAACTCCCTCAAGTCCATGGAGCCCACACATTCTGGCCAGCGTGTTGACGACTGCCACAGCAACAGGGCACTCACAAAGCAGACATCAAATACAGCCCAGTAGCAAGTGCTTACGATATTACTTCCCTTATTTTCGAGCCAGGAACACAAAAGATGTTGCCATC